TATATATATATATATATATATATATATATATATATATATATATATATATATATATATATATATATATTTACAGGCTTTGTTAAAATTTGAACATACATTTTAATCCTAAAAAACATCACTTTATGAGAGGTTTGGGAAAATTAAAGATTTTTTTTATCTTTTCTCATTGGATGTCTTTAATAATAAAAACAATATATATATTTTAAAACCCAGGGCCCCTGCTCAAGGAGCTTCCTCTTCCTGCTAAGAACATTAAACCTTCAAAACACATTTAGGGGAATGTTGTAGAGGTGGGAAGTTTTTGATTGTAATCAAACTTTGTTGGTTTTTATTTTTTTATTATATGACTTCGTGAAACAATAGAAACTGTTTTTGCATATATATATATATATATTTTTTTTTTTTTTTTTTTTTTTTGATAGAATAACCTTCCCAATTACGGAGAACCAACTCTGCCATATTTAAAAATAAATACAGAAATGCATAAATGGTCAACAAATAATAAGCATACAATTAATTGCCCCCAAAAATACAATAAACAAATAAATGTGGTAGAAATTTAATTATACAGTGAGACATAAATGTATATATCTCTTTTAATTAGCTTCTTTATCAGTTCGCCTCTGTAATAATTACCCTATTTATTTATTGTATTTAATCTTCAACTTTAATTATTTATTACTTTTTTAAAGTTGACTCTCTAAGACACATCCCTTCCTCATTTACAGAATGAGGCAGAAATGCATACAGAAATGTAAAAACGACAGTCAGAAATAAATAGCGTTGAAGAGGGTAAAAAAATACAAAGGCAGAATAAAACAGACAAAAATATTATATCATGCACATAAATAAATACTTGAAAAATAATAAATAAATAAAGTTGAAGATTATAATGGACAATAAATAAATACGGTAATTACAAAGCCAAATAAATAAAGAAGCTAATTAAAAGAGATATATACATTTATGTCTCAATGTATAATTTAATTTTTACCAACATTTATTTGTCTGTTGTATTTTGGGGGAATTAATAGAATGCTTATTTATTTATTTATTTATTTATTTATTTATTTATTTATTTATTTATTTATTTATTTATTTATTTATTGGGCATTTATTTATTTCTGTATTTATTTTTAGATATGGCAGAGTTGGTCCTCCACTGCTCCATATTAAACACTGAAGATGTGCACTGACAATGTTTTGCCGCGCGGTGGCAGCACTGAGGCAAACGGTTGTCTCCGCCCCAGACCAAAACTCAGAGGAAGAAGAAACCATCAACAAGATTATGCCAAAGTTTAGCCGGACTGTCATTTCGTCTCCGTGATATCAGAGGGAAGGATGAGGCCCACAGCAAAGAGGCTCCGTTTCACAGTTCTGTGTTTCATAATACTGCTGTCAGGACTCTATCGATGGGTGAGTGTGAATGAACATTTCTGTTCCCGTGACTGCTCCGTGACTCAGCCCTGGCTACAGTTGTGTTGTAACGTTTATCCACCACGGAAAACCAAACTGAGCCAAAAATATACACATTATATTCAAGCTAGCTTCATCCACCAGACGGATTTATATTTTTCTTTTAATATAGCACCAACTTCTACAAGACAAGGCGTGTTTTTATAACAGAAATGAATGTTTTAGGGTGACGGGTTTTACTTTCTATAGACTGGCTGTACCTGCCGTAGTTAAGGCAGCTGTCGAAACTTATTGGAGTTAAACAGCCTTTAAAGCTGCAGAAATGTCTCTTTTCAACCCACAGAAACGACCGAAACACAAGAATGTGTGAGAATCAGACAACTTTAAGGCTTCATTTAAAATATCCTGATTATTACAAAGCCATGTTGTTTTGTTCACCTTATTTTGACAACCATCGGGCAAATAAAATGCATATCAGCACTAAGTTAGAGATCAAATTAGAAAGGGATTGAAAGTGCAATCTATTATTATTATTGATCATTCTTTGTTTTTTAAAACTAGAGAAGCACAGATTGATGGTTCTGACCAGAGTTCGGAATATGCTGGATTATCTCTAATCTTAATCTCTCATTATCAGTTCAGATACCTGGATAGTCGCCTGTTGTTTACCTCTTGTTATTAAGCCAATGAATAATGCAAGGGAAAATAAACTCTTATATATGTTTTTATTTTTGTTCAACCTTAATAAACAGTAAACATGAAGAGGGGGACATTATCATCTTTAATATTGATCGCCATGGTCTGACTTAAAATGTTTAAAAATATTTCTCCATGAAGCAATGAGACTTTATCCTAATTCAAAAAACTAAAATAAAGTAATACAATCAACTCAATTTATTCATGTAATGCTAGTTTACAGGACATGTAATTTAAAGTTTTGCAGAGATGATTCAATCAAATCATCCAGACAGATTATTGAAAGGTTTTCCCTCTAAGGAAAACTGGCTGATTGCATGAGAGATTCATTATTCATGGATGAGCATGCAGCAATCCTTCACACTGTGCATGTGTGCAGCAACAGTGGGGCGGAAAAACTCGATTTAAATGTTGAAATATATTTCTTAGTTTGCATTGCATTTGGGTATAAACAGAAATTATCTTTTAATTCCTTAAGTTTCAATTACACCTAAAACTGTTAACTTTATGGAAAGAAAATATGCCATAATTGTCCTTTTCCATTACACACGTGTTTATAGATTGAAATGTTATGAATTTCTTTTAACTAATTTGAAAGAAAAAAAAACTTTTATGTATTATAACTGCTGATAACTTATCCAGCAGAGATTAACTGGTGATTTAAAAGTGAATCAGAAATGATCGCCCTGAAGTTCAAATTCATCAGGTGGACAGTTACACGTAAAAAAAACAAACAAAAGAGCAAACGTCAGCCATATGCAGCTGATTTTTGATATATAGATATGTATGGTTAGATATCTATCTCTATAAGGGGAATTGATTGAGAGAAAGCAGCTCAATCTTTTTTTCTTTAATTTAATCAGTTGTAAGTAGCCCCCACTCATCCTCAGTGACCTCTCTATTTCCCTCACTACATTATTTACACTTCTTTATATGATGCAATTAGGTCTCTACGCACAGACCTGCTTTGAAACCAAGCTAAAACATTAGAAACATCTCAGATCGTTACTGTTTCAAGATAAGATAAGAAAAATGAAAAGAATGTCTGAATCAGTGCAAATATTGACAGCCCGAAAGCTGCTGTGGGTAAGCAGAAAAGTTAAGAAGAACTCGTGAGTATATTGGCAGAAATTCCATTTCTGCCAGAGAATCGTTGAGGGGACGTGTTTGGTAACCTGAACAAATACGACTCTGCGACAGGGTCACGCGGTTCAGGTATGAGGTCCAGCCTACAGCCTCTGTTTTCCTGAAATAATATCACTTTCTTGTGAATAATAACCCACAAAAGTAGAACAGAGTTTAAGACCAGATATTTTCATGAAACAGTTTGTAAGAGTATGAATAAGTGAATCAACTTCCTTAGTTAACCTCGCCTACGAATAACATGTGATTGCTCAGATGCTGAACAGGCAGAAAGCAGATCATGTTTTGCTTTATTCCAGTGCCTGTTGACAATTATATTTCCCATTTAAACTTCTTTTTAACATCATTTACTTAAAGTGACACCTGGTTGTTCTTCAAGCACTGTGTTGAAAACATGATTTGCAGAAGTGAAAATGTTATTTTTAAGCATTCAGGGCATGATATGAAAAAGTCATGAAATAAAAAAAGAAAGAAGGAAGTCACAGTGCTTCTTTTCTCTCTCTGCAAAATCTCATATTTCTAATAAACCAACCCACATGTCTTAGATTTAGAATGAAGTTATTGTATTTTATTTATTTTCTTTCACTGTGCCGACATTCTGCTGAGCATGAATCAAATGTAGAGACATAGTGTGTGCTGCTAACAGTGTTTTTATTTTGATTGTCTGTCAGGTTGAGGCCCAGCACTGCGTTTGGTACGGTGAATGTGGAGAGTCTAAAGTAGTTGGAAAAAAGTACAACTGTAACTACACTGGTGCCCCTATTCCACTAGAACCTAAAGGCTACGAGCTTCTAACGGTACGTTCCCCTTCTTCTTTGGTGATGCACAGTGGATTCCATCTAATACATTCTTTGCTCCTTCTTTTTTTGCAAAATCACTCAGCTTATTCAGATTAGATTTAGAGCATCTATGAACATCCGTTTTTAAGTTTTAGCCAGGATTTAATCTCTACCATTTGCTTGCACAAACATCCTCTGATCTGAGCTATGCTGTTGTAACTCTGGATGTATGTTTTGGGCCATTATCCTGCTGGCTGCTGAACCTTGCTCTGGTTACAGGACCTTTTTTCACTGTCTGACTCCCTGTATTTAGCTCCATCCATGCTCCAACAACTCCAAATAACTTAATCAGCTGCTCCTGCTAAAGATATAACATTCCCGCACCATGAAGCAGTGACCAACATGTTTTTCTGTTGCGATGGTTCACTAAGGGTGATTTGCCATGTTAGCTTTTTGTCGCACATTGGGCCTAATCTCAGAAAAGTTTGTTTGTATAAAACCCCTGCAAACCGGATAGCACTGGCAAAGTAGCATGACTCCTTGTTGATAGTTAAACCTTTTATTTCAACGTCGTTTTTGTTTCTTTTTACTTTTGTTTGTTACTATTTAGGATACTCCTATGTTGAGTGCATCATAAAAATCAATCATTGTCATTATTGTTATTTCTTTATGATGATTCCTATTATTAACTCCACGGCTAAGAACTTCATCTTCCTTTCACAGCCACCCTGCTCCCTCAAGCAACCAGTAGCTGTTGAAACTGCCATAATAACAAAGGGTAGATCTCTGAATAACGCATGACTGATCGGACACACCCAGGCAGATCAGGGACATGCAGTCATTTATTAATTTACAGGACCTGACATAAATTAAATGTGCCCCTTTAAACTATCCGTGTAAGAGCACATTCAAACGCAACAACAGTAGCATGTGCAATTTCCCTTCTTTAAATAGGGTGGTCCAAACCAGTTTTTCACCTTTTATCAAATTTTCTACATCACTTGCATCACACCCTGTTAATTCATGTGCTAATTTCATTGTATTTTCACATGCAAACTTCAGGCCCATAGAGTTTTGCATGTAAACCAGAATAGTGAGATTTTGCCTTCTTGCTGGTCTTCATAAAGGCTCACAGTGCATAGATTCTCTCCCTGTGAGCGGGCATCTTAATGATCAGCTTCAGTAGATGGTATTTCTGCTATGATTCATAGTCATTCTGGTGCTGTTTGCTCCCTAATATGCAAAGACTGAAGGCCCTCCCAGACCTTGAAGGTTTGCATTTGTGATTCAACACAAGCACTGGATTTATTAGGGGTGTTGGAGTCTATCATTTTCCTTTCAATTATTCACTACTTTGTTTTGATGTGTCATATAAAAACTCAATAGATGTGATGTGACAAACCTAAGAAAAGGGCCTAGGGGCTGTAGATACTCTTGGAAGGCGCTGTCTACAGGTGTGTCAAAGCCTTTGTCATACTGTATGTGCAGGAGCTCTGTCCAGGGTATGACTACGGGAACCGAAGTCTGTGTTGTGATGTTGCCCAGCTGTCCACTCTCAAAGCGAGCCTCCAGCTGCCCCTTCAGTTCCTGTCTCGGTATGTTAGATGAACTGATGAATCACATGACATTCCTTCATCATTATCTGTTCCCGTCTGCAGTGCTGCAGATAAATCTGTCGATGTACTGTTTTGCACTGAAACCACAATGCATTTTGTTTGATTGTTTTTTTTTTTTTTAGGAAAGAAGAGTTCATTTGATATTGTTGTTATTTGGATTGAAAATCAGTTTTTAAATAACAATTTTATTTCTTAAGGGAAACAAATCTAACTAGAATTTGTATCAAAATGTAATGTGCTCCCCTGTTACATCAAAAATAAACTATAACTAACCTGAATTTCTGTATAGTCTCATTATATTATATGAATTTCTGTATAGTCTCATTGTGTATATATATATATATATATATATATATATATATATATATATATATATATTAGGGATGGAACGGTTTATGAAAACTGTCCAAACCGTTTGTTTCGACTGTCTTTGTTAGATTTGCGTGTGTTGCGTTCGGTTCATGTGCTGCTCCTTTTTCTCATAGGCAAAGCGTGTACACTCCAGAGCAGAAGGTGGCGTTACTGCGACCAAAGCCAACCACCAGTAGTAAATAAGAAGAAGCAGCATAGCCGGGTGTAGCAGAAAAAAATCAGTTGTTGTGGAGAATTGTGTGGGTATGGCGAGTGGGAAAGAACAGGAGTTGGAAGACGTGCCAGCAGCACTTTATAGGTCTGCTGTATGGGACCGCTTTGCATTTAGAGTGACCTACGATGACGGCGGAAAGAAAGTTGTGGATAAAAATGCAACAGTGTTCAAGCATTGTGCAATACGTTTTGTTTATGCTAACAGCAACACGACCAGCATGTCAGGCTAACAATCAACATATACGAACCGAAAACCGTGACCACGAAACCGTGAACCGAACCGAACCGTGGATTTTGTGAACCGTTCCACCCTAATATATATGCATATATTACATTTAGGCCTGTAGAATCAAAAAGTATTCAAAGTAGAACCTGTCTGACTGCATGAAGAAAGTTTAAAATCCTAATAAAAAAAAAAAGTCGTGGCCATATCTGCAATGATTCAAAGCTTTGGGAATCATGAGAACCTCACCACTTCCTTTAAAACACTTAACAGTGGTAAACCTTAGGAACTGCCATCTAACCAGGATTACATCAACAGGTAGATGGTGATTCATCGACATATCTAAACATATCTAAAGCCCTGCAGATCTCTTTTCTCAGGACAAATTTAAGTCAGGAACAGCCTCCATCAAAGCGTTCAAAACCCCGTCTGACCAAAAGTATCCAAAGGGTCAATTCATGTTAGTGAATGCTGCGTGGTTGTGTTTTTATTTTTATTTCCATGTCTGTGCAGGTGTCCCTCCTGTTTCTACAACCTGATGAACCTGTTCTGTGAGCTGACATGCAGCCCCCATCAGAGCCAATTCATGAACGCCACCAATGTTACTGGAACCGACGTGATGGAAGTGCAGTACTACATTGGACAGACCTTCGCTAACGGTGAGCCTATTGCTAGAACTACCTCTGGATGTACAACAAGGTGCCTGTACAATGTTTGACATGATAACATGTTGCCTAAGAAATCTAAGTAGCCATGTTTTTTATCGCTGGTTCTATCAGTTTTCATGTGAATTTAAAAATAAAATAAAATAAAAGTGAGGCTGAGCTTATAGAGAAAATAAAATCTTTAATTTTGTCTTTGTTTTCCTCCAGCCATGTACAATGCCTGTCAGGATGTCCAGGCACCTTCTAGCAATGTGAAAGCCTTATCGCTGCTATGCGGCAGGGACGCAGAAGACTGCACTCCTACCAACTGGATCCAGTTTATGTTCAGTATTGAAAATGGTCAAGCTCCTTTTCCCATCATCCCTATATTCTCTGGTAAGTAACCATTCTTCCTATGGATTGTCTTTTCAAAATTCTAATTTTTCAAAACCATAGAATTTTTTTATTTATTTTTTTAATTAGTAGTTTTCTGTTTCTATTCCAGATGTGGAGGTTTCTGGTTACACACCCATGAACAACAAAACCTATGCCTGCACAGAAAGCTTAGAGGATGGTTCAGGTTCCTGCTCCTGTCAGGACTGCTCGGCAGCCTGTGGCCCCAAACCCATACCCCCTCCTCTGCCCCCTCCTTGGACCATCCTCGGTATGGATGCCATGTCTGTCATCATGTGGATCTCATACATGGCCTTCCTTCTCATCTTTGTCGGAGTTTTAGTGGGCGCTTGGTGCTGCAGGTAATGCGCTCATGAGAGCTTGTTTTTTTTTTTTTTTAGATATTTCATTTGTACGTTTGTTCTGAACTGACTTCCAACTGATGTGCAGGAGAAGGACCATCGCATCAGAGTACGCCCCTATTTTGGACAGCAACAACCCGCTTTCCCTCAATAATGACTACCCCAACCAAGGTATGGCCAAAAAAAGAGATGCAACTCCATGTAAAGTACTCAATTAATTGGTGTTCCCACCACTCACTGCAAATTAAAGCCCAGGTGATGGCATTGGGTCTATTTTGACACTGTTATCTTCTGTTAAAAAGAAATTGAGATCATTGTTCTGCATCAAATCAGTATTTATTAATCCTTGCAAGGAAAAACAGATATAGTATTTGCCAATGTTCTACCTCAGGGGTGTCAGACTGGTTCCAGAAAGGGCCATATGGCCTAAGCAATAGAACACCAGAATCCATTCATCTCATCAAGTCATCATGTTCAGATTGGACTCACTTGATGAGATGATTGGAGTCTGGTGTTCTATTAATTAGTTGGAAAGAAAACCTGCAGCCACACGGCCCTTTCTGGAACCAGGTTGACACCCCTGTTCTACCTGTTCTTATCTAATCAAGGGTTTTCTAAAGTAAAGTTGTGAAGGTCTTCACATACAGCTAATCAAAACAAGTTACAGACGGTTGAAGTGAACATTGAAATGTTGAATAATCTGGAAACTAAATTAGTCTGGCCGCTGTTCCAAACTCTCCCTAACAGTATTAAAACAACCCCTCTCACCCAGAAACTGTGTAGGTTTGCATGTGTGAGACAGCTTGAATTAATACTTTTTAAAGTAAGTAAATCAAAACCAGTGCTCATAATTAATCGATTTTTCCGACCACAACTCCATCCAACTGGATAACTTATTATTAATCAGCACAGCTTAAAAGCATCATATCAGTTTTGCATCACAAAATTGTGATGTTGATCAAAATGTTGATTACATTGGATTCATTTTGCATTTTTATTAGAGACTGTAAACAATGATTTTAAATGTAGTAATTAGTTGTATGTAAGACCAAGCCTTTCCAGCAGATGATTGGGCCTTGATCAAAGTCATTATTTTGCAGTACTGGCTGTGTGTAAGGTCATTTACCCAAAAGTTGAATGCTTTTCTAAGAGACTCTACCTATAATGTAATTGCTCTTCAAAGGCAATAATATTTGTTGTTCTGATCTTTCATTTTTCTCCTCTCAGTGGATGCTTCCTGTGGTGAGAAGCTGGGCGAGCGTTTCGAGAACCTCATGCGAGTTTTCTTCAGCCGCTGGGGTTCTTTCTGCGTTCGCCATCCATCAGTGGTCCTGCTGGGCAGCTTCATATTGGTGATTGCTTGTAGCGGAGGCCTGATCTACATGCACATCACCACGGACCCTGTTGAGCTTTGGTCGTCGCCGACCAGCCAGGCCCGCCAAGAGAAGGACTACTTCGATGAGCACTTTGGACCGTTCTACAGAACGGCGCAGCTCATTATAACCACTCCGATTAATGACACTTACATTTTCTCTCCGTATCCTGTGGGCTCGGACGTCCCCTTTAAAGCCATACTGTTCAAAGATATCCTGCATCAGGTTGGTTGTTTAGAAAACACTTGATTTATTGAGCCTTGGGCAGTACATATGCTTTTCTCAGTATGCAAAACTAAACCTTTAGATTTGCTGGGGTTAAAAAATAAGTAATGAATATAGATAAAAAGTTTGATGTAGAAGATCCTACCTGAGCTTTTTACTTTATGAACTTTTTAGCCTCCCATGCTCTACAGTAATTCCCGCAGCCCGGCAGTGGACAGAAAAAGATAGTTTAAAATGTTTTGCCCCATTTTAATTAATTGAAGGGCACTTTCAACAGTTAAACACTGTTGTTTTCATGGTGTCTGTTTTGGTTTTTTTATTTTTGCTTTTATGTTTTTCTTCCTAATGCACCATCCAGGTGCTTGACCTTCAGCTTGAAATCGAAAACCTCGTGGTTGAATATGAGGGCCAGAACATCACGTTAAAAGACATCTGCCTGGCTCCTCTGGCCCCGTACAACAACAACTGCACCATCCTGAGTGTTCTCAACTATTTCCAAAACCGCCATGATGTGCTGGATCACAGCAAAGGGGACGACTTCTATGTGTGGGCCGACTACCACGACCATTTCCTCTACTGTGTCAGGTATCTCTCCTCTGGGCCATTTTCCTCTTCTTTATCAATAAGATGGTGTTTTGTTTGTTATTCTTTGTATTATGTTTAAACTTCCCTTTTAAATCTTGTTTGTATAGCTTATTTTGTTAAGTAGAAAATCATCTGTTCCTCATTGCATTTTCACAGAACTGTAGAGGAAGATATTAAATGTTAAAGAAAAAAAATGGACCCACAGATTGGCCCAGTATTGGTTTTGGTTTCAGTGGTTTTTCAGTTCATCATATGATGCCTGGTCAAGCTTTCATTTACCTTCAAGAACATTTTTCTGGCCAAGACTAAGAGCAGGAAAGCATTTTGGGGAAGAAAAAAAAACAGACAAAACTTATTGCAAACAACCTGATTAAAGTATGCTTCTTAGTCTTTCAAGCTTGTGGTGGTTTGAGATTAAATCTGTGTTGATTGTATTTGATTCCTGCATTATTTACATTCACTTAGAGTAGCTATCTGTTTCAGAAGAGCAAACTAAGAGGATTTTCTGCCCAGGTGTTTGGTACCGAGCGTAGAATAAAATTCTGGAAGAAAACTATCTTAGAATATACCAGTGGTGCATGATGCTGTTGGCAGTAATGTTCATTAAATGTATGAATGTGATGCCAAACTGTCAAATGAACCCTAAAAAGAGCAACATCCCATGGTTTGGTATTGGTAGGCTTCTCCATTCCTGTCGGGAATTTGTTTTTCAGTTCTTTCTAACTAAAATTATCTAGAGATGAGTGATTTCATATATTCCTCTCCTGCAGCGCCCCAGCTTCCCTCAACGACACCACTGCCCTCCATGATCCCTGTCTAGGAACCTTTGGTGGTCCTGTGTTCCCCTGGCTGGCACTTGGGGGCTATGATGGTAAGTTTTTCTTTTTTTTTTGCATGTCATTTCACACCTTCACTGGCCAGTGACGCTTTTAGCTGACCATATCAGCAGCCCACTGGATTCTATGATGATTCATCATTCACTAAATACAAACCCTTACAGAAGTTTTTTCTCTCTCAGCGCAACCACCAACTGAATCATAATTTGTTTGGAGAAAGCAAACATAACAAGTTGTAGTGAATGACAAGATGAAAAAAAAAGATTTTTTTTTCCTCCTTCATTTGCAAATCAGTGTAACTAACTGCAGTTGGTACTTTGACTGTAATGAATGAGCAAACAAATGAAACGTCAGCACTCTGCTCATTCACCCTCAGGGTTTTTGTTGCAGTCTTAGTTTAAGGTTGTGCTACTATATTCCCACATTTTTTTCTTGCTCGAATGAATTTACAAAAGCCAAATGCGTTACTCGCTCTACTACCTCTCTGTCACACCTTTTCCATTGAAGGTGTAGGAGTCTCCAACCTCCCCACCAAAAAAGACTCATCAGCTCTGATTGGCCTGCTTCCTCTGGGCTGATCTTCAGGCTCCGCCCCCTCTAGTGTTTAGAAAACCTTTCATTGGATGCAAACATAACGTAGCTTTATGACCTGAGTGAAGCACAAGTTAAAAATGTGAACCATTTGGATAGAAATGACAAACCCAAAGACTATGATGAACAACTCAGTTCTTTGAAAAGAAAAGAAAAATAACTCTTTGTTATTAAAGCAGTGAAAATAACACTGGATCCAGCGATAGAACTTTTCTATTAAAACGCTAATAGGTTGTCCATGTAAATATATTCCAAAACAGTTATTTTCATGTTGTATTATAATAAAACAAAAAATAAATGAATCACAAGTTATACATATTTATTAATAATATCATTAACAACCCTAAAGAAGAAAATAAGTGAAGAGGAAATGTTTTAATCAAAACTATAAGTTCAAATCATTATTAGCTCTATTGAGGTACTTTTTTCATCACTTTCAGCATTAATGAGGCTGCAGTGCTCCAGGAAATCATAAAAAACGTTGCTCTGCTCATCAATTACACCTGATCTGTAATGGAATCGCTCTGTAATTTGCTGTTTATCTCATGAATTAGTTAATAGTGTTTCATTTTATTGTTTCAGCTATGATTCTGATTTATGTTGCTGTCCATTCCGGCCACAGATCCTGATGGTTAAAGCCTACATATGAAGAAGTTTTAGAATATTTCAATTTGTTTTATTGTAAATTCTATTTATGAATGATGATTAATATGAATTTGTTTTGAAATAAGGACATTTGTAGCCCTATTCAAAGATTTTGTTTTTATACTCCTTAATTGTTCTGGGAAATTCAAATAAATATTGTAAAAGAAATGCTTATTAGAAGCATTTAGCTCCTCTTATATTAGTGAATAATTTTAAGGATTACTAAGATGTCAACTTTTCATATACAGGGTTTCCGGGGGTCATTAAAAGTCATAAAGTAATTATTTCTTAAATTGAGGCCTGAACTATATATATAT